TTGCTGCAATAAATGTAAGTGTACATTCGGATACAATACAATTTAATTAATTGTTTAAATTGTTTGTTAATAATACACACGCACATATATAATTTATTATACATATGACAATAATACTTAATATTTATTGATTTCTTAACTATATTCCTTCAACACTAACTATATCCATACGGAAATGAAAGGAGCCGTCCGATGCGCAACTCATTCTCGAGTTGCAATATTGAATTTGTTAACTTGGAAGAAACTTTTCTAACCTAATTACTTCCACAAAAGTTATACTTTCGCATAAGCATAACATAAACAGACTATGTCGGGATGTATGTTTTAGCGGATCATCGACCCATTAAAAATTAATAAGTGAGAGTAAGACTAATAAATTAAAAACGAAAATGTTATACCAACCCATTTATCCCCTTTGCACTTTCATTGTATTTAATATTAATATTTTTATATTTCTTCCTTTTCCACTCTCAACCAACGAAATAAAATATCATCCTTCGTCCAAAAAATGTCAAATAAGCACACTATGTACATGTTTCAAAACGTTAGACAGGTACAACCTATAGGGTATGTACAATAACTTAAAGTAAAAGTAGCAAAAATAAAAAAATTAAATAAATAACTTTCATATGAGAAAAATAAAATCACTTACAAATATTTAATTTCATTTTTTATTTTGTGTACTGAAATATTGTATTTTTTTCCTATGAAAAAAAAATTTTTAATTCACTTTCTTTTATGAAAAGTAATTTCAGTAATAATTTAATATTAATGCACTATTTAATTTGTTTTAAAAAATAAAACTGTTTATTTCTTTTCAGTTTTTTGAGATTTTTTTATTATTTTCATTCCAAAAAGAATAATATGTCTTTTGTTTAAATCACGCAATATTGAAGTAACTTTTTATTTAATATAACTTAGTGCATATTTTTTCACTTAATAATTTTATCATTAAATGTGATTTATAACATTCCTTTGAGTTAACTGCTCAGTGTATGATACACATCGGCGACTCTAACTAAACTGATTTTCAAATTTCAAATTGAGTACATCTTCAATGTCCTGACTTGGATTCGGTATTAGTACGGACAAAACACAAAAGATTATGAGATACATTTGTACGTGTAGTTTAGCGTGTGTGAAATTCTCTAAAGCTCTAAAAATGCAACTGATTCAGTTGGACTTGAAAAAATAAAATTCGAATAAAACTCTTTATCTTTGCATTAAGCAAAACTGTAAAGAATATATAATTATAATCAAAGGTCAACTTTATAATTTTAAATTATTATAATTGTAATAAATTCATGAATATATTTTGAAATAATTTTACTGAGGCTTAACAGTTGGCAACACTTTGCCAAATTCCACTACACCACTACGCTCATACTAAATATTTACTCTCAACTCAAAAGCTTTTGAAACACAAAGCTCGCTCAATGTTTTTTTACTACATAAAAGCTGACTCGGTGCTGCTATTTTAATTTTTTTTTTTTCATAAATTTGTTTACAAATATTTTTGTTTTTGTTTTTGTTTCTACTTTTTCTTTCATTGTTCGTTGTTATTTTGCTCTAAGCTTCGGTGGATTTCTTTATTTTCTTTTGAATTAAGTACACATACACCACAGATTAAAAGTTTCCATGCAACAATTAATGGAAACAGCATTTAATCAACAGACGCAGAAAAATGCTGCAGAACACAATCACGGACTTATATTCTGTTTTATAAAAATTTATTATGCCTGGTAATAAATTAAAGGTGCTTAATAAGTTATCGTTAAGAGATATTTATAATTATTTGTTCATTTTTAATCACACAAACACATATACCGTTTTCGATTGGTAAATCTGGGGTAAGTTTTTGAATCGAAATTCACTTTTAGTGAAATTTTATTTCCCATTGGTAAATCTTGAACAAAATGTATGAGACTCGAGATTAGTTTATAATACTCTAGATATTTTGGCAGAGTAGCAAGATTATACTAAAATTAACAGCTGGCTTGACAAATAAAATGTGTTTTAATTCGATATAGGTATGCATTTATGAAATATTACATTATGCAAAAATGTTATATTATTAAAAATGTTTGATTGGGCAACAAAATTTTATAGATCAAGAGTAAATCTAGATTGAATCCAGATTTACCAATCGAAAAGGGTTTTATTTTTTTCTAAACATACACAATACTTCTTCTACATTGCTTGATAGTGTCTGTTTTACTGATAGTGTTGATTTTTTAGTATTACTTAAAATAATCTATTTAAAAACTTGACTTTGTCGATATATTTGATTGTATATGAAAATTTCATAATATGTTATTAATATTCCTCATTAGTGTCACAGACACTAAAGAGGAATATTAATAACATATTATGAAATTTTCATATACAATCAAATATATCGACAAAGTCAAGTTTTTAAATAGATTATTTTAAATAATACTAAAAAATCAACAAAAACATTTAATTGAATTGTTTTAATAAAAAGTTATTCATTTAACAGTATCAGTACAATTAAAATTTTTGGATCGTTTAATGACCTCTTATTGTTTTAAACTTGTGAACACTCACTCTAGATAAGGTAAAGATTTTTGTCTGGAATTTTCTTTAGTGATGAAGCTTATATTTCTGTGAGTGGACATATCCCACATACCAGTTAAATTATAGCCTGAAGAAATAGCTGTATCGTGTGGTACTTAGTTTGCAGTTGTGAAAATGTGATCATACTCTTTCCAAAACATATAAAAATTAACTATACATAGGCAACTCATAACTTAAGAAATATTAAAGCTGGACATTGTCATTAAACCAAATTCATAGGATACGTACTAGATACTAAAACAATATTTTCGATAAAAAAAAACTATATTTATAACAGTTAAGTAGCAATATTGTAGCACAGGTATGATATACCTAATGAATTTATAAGTATTTTTTCTTTGAAACCTGATATTTTTGTAAAAATTGATGCTATATATATTATATGAGAGAGGGGAGGTAACTACGAGCCTTTGAGAGTCAGTACACAAGGCAATGAGTTTGATGGCATTTAACTTGAAAAATTCCAGCGCAGTGCTTGTCATCCTACCTGTTACCTTTTACCCGCTAGGTAACGAACTAACACTGTGTACAACGATTTCTATTCCCAAGACTTTAGTTTGGATTGTGCACAAAGTTTGGCACCCGTCACGTAAGCCGCCAGTGAAAGACATAAGAATGCCGCGGAATTGTAAACCGAATGTTACAACTTCCCGTAAATGATCAAAAATGATTACTATGTTTCTAGGGATTCACATGGGTCTGTTAATCTTATATATTATATTGAGCTATGATATCACATTTATTTTATAATTAAAATTTTTTTAGAGAGATTTCAAAAAGTAGTAAACTACAAAAATTATTTTTTTATTTGTTTAATTAATTGAATTTTTGGATGATCATACAGCTATTTCGAGTATTACCAACTACAAATCATAAGTAGTATTTATGGAAATATTTCTTATATTTAATTGTACGGGAATAAGTTTTTAAGACTGTAAGAACAAAGGGTAAGAAGACTGTAAGAAATTTAAAGTTCAAATTCATTGTGAATCAGCCAACTGACCCAAAGCCATACTTGCCATGTATATTCGAACTAAGAGTTTTTTAATTTACTGTAAAAGTTCATTAACAAATTCACTTGCTGTGTTATATTAGAACGAAAGCAGATCTTGAAAAATTAACTTCATTTTTGATTTTTCTTTTTCATTTTAAATTTCAATATTTTTTAGAACCTAACCTAAGAACGTAATATGGAGAAAATTACGCTTATGTTACTCTACGATTCGTACAAGTGAGACTGGACATTGAGTATATATTGTTATTCATGTTATTTCCATTATAAGCCTATTATATATGAAATTAATTTTAACGTCAATATCTCAGAAGTGACTATTTTTCTTGATATAAACTGTTGTATTTAATAGAAAGGTTTTGTATAATTTTTATATATTTGTAGTTTTTATATATACATAGTTTTAATAGTTTATAGATTAATTATAGTTTTTATTTTTTATAGTTTTGTATTTATATTTTATAAATTGTTTTTTACGTAACTTTTATTTATAATTATTAAAATTATAATTATAATTTATATTATCTCAAATATTTACTTACCGTATAGGTTATACTAAACAATATATTTTACAAAACACAAACGAATAAATAAATACTATAGCAAATAAATCCTCTGAACAACAATTTAAATTGTGGCTTTTTTGAAGGAGCACTCGATGGCTTTTCATTGAATTGTCAAAAAAGTAGCCGAAATAGTAAACAAACAAAACTAAAAGTAAAAAAAACTTTAAAAAAATACTGCGAAGTATAAAGTAATTCCGCAGATACTTTGCTTCTTCTTGTTCGTGCAAATATCACAAGAAAATGGCAAATAGTTTTGAAAAAAAAATTATGCTCTTTCCTTTCTTTCTTTTGCGTCTAGGACCAACAAAATTTACATTGCATTCCGAATCAAACACAAAAGATATGTGTAAGAAAAATAACAGAAAACATAAAATTAATAGTAAATCGCGTACAACACAAACAGACATACGCCAGCACAAACACATCACAACTACACCAATACCCTGCCAAATGTCAGTCAGATGATACAAAACAAACTAAGCCATAACAGCAATACGAACTGCTGCAGCAAGAACAAAAACAACTTTAATAACGACCACAACCAACTATTAAAACTACAACAACACCAAAATAAAAGTTTAAGAAAAATCGATCTCATACTCGTGTTTCACTCACAATCAGCCGACGAAAGCCGACTAAAACATGTGTCTCGTGCCGCAAAGTATCTTAGCTTTTTCCCTCGTTTTGTTGTTGTTTTTTTTCGTATGTATTTTTTAATGCTGCTTTATTTATTTACTTATTTCTGTTTGTATTAGTAATTAAGTGCAAATTATAACAATGTATAAGATACTGAACATATGTAATGAAAAATGTGCAGCAATCACCTTGAGTTGAATTCTTTGTTAAGTCACTGCTCAAAATTTATAACAAAGTTTGTTGTTGCAATTTATAACTATAGCACGTGTTGTTTTGCTTTGCGTTATAAAAAATACAAATTACATTATTTTATAAAAAGTTTGATAATCAAGCGCTGCATTAAATTACTTCCGTACCGAGAGAACATACACGACAAAATGACACCCGGGATTGAAGTGAATTTGCTAACAAATCCCCGAAATAAATACAAATGCCAAAAAGCTTTTACACATAATTCGCAAGAAAATTTCTCACTAAAAGCTTCCACGGTCCACTAACAGCCACCGGCCGGAACCTTCAAGACACAACTTTTAATCTGCTTCTTGAAAAGCTTTCGGCACACATACCTTTCAATTTACTATACTGCATATTCTCTCTCCACTTTTTACTTTCGTTGCTTTTCCCCACAAGTGCAATGGGACTATAGTGCAATTTGTATTTAACTGAAGTTAATCCAATTTTTAACTGAAGTTAATCCAATTTTTTTCTTTCTAAATCATCAAAATTTATCCAAAGATATTGTTTTATTTTACTTAAAAAACTATTTTTTACTATTTAAATTTTATTTAATAATTTTTTATTTTATTTTTTAAAAAGTTGTTTATATAAGTATATTACTATGTTGAGACACTTGAGCACTTTTACTCTCTATTAACTGCGAGGTTTCTTCAAAACCCCTCTCCACACCTTGATTAGATTATTGTTTATCACTTCATCAGACTAAGCAATAACTGACCTCAGATCTGCATACCTCACTGAGGAGCCTAAACCATTCTAAGATTCGATAACGCGGTATTTATAAGCCTGTCAGTTTTCGTAAATAATTTCAGGGCTTCATCTTTTATGTATTTTTTGATTGGATCAAATGTCGTGGAAATGGAAAAACTTGTTCCGTTTAAAAAGGTGTTTTAATCGGTACCTGCTGAAGGAAAACGCGATATAAAACGCCCGCATTTTCGGTGAAAGGAGCACGTGCCCAATGATATGAAGACACTTGGTACTACCAACTAGTAGCACCTAGCCACTAATCCGGCTGGCTAATGAAGGCTACATAGCAAAAGACGACTTACGTCTGTAATGGCTAACTAACGAATGAATGAATGCCTAAACATAACACAGTTATTCAATATTCTTTAATTATATTATATATAATTAAAATTGTAAAGGATGACATTTTTAATGTCAATCTACGATACTTCATATATAATCTTACAAGCTTTTTTTGGCAAGCTAATGATAAAGCATCAATCCAATAAATTCCTATAGGGTTTAATTTCTTAAATTTTCACAACAGATGGTACTCTCGGAAACGGATTGTACCTATTCAATTTTAAGCTTAAAGATAATACAATATATGTTTGTTTTATAAAAAGAGGAAAATTTCAAAGTAATTAACATAAATGGCAAAATATTCAAAAACATTAAACAAATTATTTATTGAGTAAATGTCAGTAAGTAACTTTACTCTCTTCTCGTTGTGAACATCTAATTTATGTGAAATAGTTTATTCCGTGGTCGTATATTTTATGTGGTTTTTACAGTATTATACTTCTTACGTCGGCGTATCCGCCCTCTGATCGAAGATTGCTTTGGTTGTTTTATAGATTTAAAATTTCCATGTTGACTACCTTTTGAAATATTTTCAGTGTCTTGTCTTTTATATATATTTTGACTGTTCCTATTTTAAGATTCTTGTGCATATTTGTATTTGTAATATATCCAGTAGTTTTAAATATTCCTCTTAATGGTACATTTTGTACTATCTGTAGTTGTTCTACATTAGTGTTTGATACTCTACCGCACACCATTCAACCTTACTATATAGGTGATTGGGTCTTATTATTTGTTTATAGATCATCATTTTATTTGTATGTTTGGTTCGTATAAGAGTCTGCTATCCATATTTATTCCCAGACATTTTACTTTATTTTTTTTATTTTTCCTTTATATTTTCAGAACGAAAATGCAAACTTCAAATATGTACAGAACAACATAAACAAACCACAGAATCACAAATCAGAATAGTAACAATATAATTAACCAGAGAGAAAACCTGATTTTATAATATTAATTTATAATATATGGCTATAAATCGATATTGAAAAAAGTACACATGTTAGAAAAGTACTAACAAGCGTAGTACCCGACTAATTTTTACTTAACCACTTGCAGCAAATCGAAAATTTCTGATACCTTCACTTTTTGAAACTTATTTCAAATTATACATGAGATCGGAATAAAGGAATAATGGTGAAGTATTAAATGGCAAGAAGCAATTCTTAATAAAAATATTATATAATAATACATCTCGTATTATTGAATCATGTCTACAATAATTCTATCCAATCAACGAAACTGATTTAAAATCCCAATATCATCTACCTTCTAGTTCTAACAAATTCATTTTCTTCCAATTTTCAATACCAGTTCAATAATATTTATTTTGACACAAAGATTATTTTGTATAAAATTCAACTTTATTTAAGCATCATTAAAATTTTGATGAATTTTGATGAATTTTGATGTCAGTCTGTAAAATTTACCAAAAATTTACCAAATTTATACATAATAATTAAAATTGATAAAAAAAATGTATACAAATATATAGAAAGAGATCGGATACATTGTTAGTCTCAATTACAGCAAGAAAGGCAGTCCAAGAATGGCTTCAAAGATGTAGTGAGGAAATTTGACACACTTCAAAAGCACATCGGGCTAACGGGCTAAAAAAAGAAACTAATAGTATATACAAAAAATCAAATCAAATTAGTTTAATATTTAAGCTATGTTGATGAAATGAGTCCAAATTTACTTATATATATTTAATTTCTTATTATTAAATTTATAATAAAAACAACGTTAAAATTATAAAAATTATTACGTATTTCTTAATACATATTTAAAAAAAAGATTATTTTGCATAAAATCAAACTTTATTGGTATATCATTAAAATTTTGATGAATTTCGGTATTAGTCTGTATAACCTGAAGACATGATTCGTATTTTATGATTATTAATTTGAGTACTTACCAAATTTATACGTAATAATTAAAATTGAGAATAAATGAATACGAATATATAGAAGGTGATCGGATATATTGTTAGTATCAACTACATAACGATTGACAATCCAGCATGGCTTCAAAGGTATAGCGAGGAAATTGGATACACTTCAAAAGAAAATCGTTGAGGGGCTATAAAAAAAAAGTATTGAAATTATATGTAAAATAACCATATAAAAGCATATATAATATTTAAACTTTGTAGATAAAATAATTGTAAATGTTCTTATTTTCAAATATTAAACGCAGAAATATGTAAAATATATGTAAAAATCTGTATTTGAAGAAGTGATCTTCGTTGTTGTCATATAATTAACATTAGTAATATATTAATAATATTATCCATATATTTAATTTGGTTTTGGTAATTCACAATCACTTAGTTAAAAAGCACAAATATTATTTCATAGGTTAGATACAATTCATATGATTTCTTATTTACCAAAATCAAATTAAAACTTTTTCAAAGTACTTTAAGACGTTCCAAACGATCATTAAAAACTGAGTTAAAATTTTAACTAAACGTTATTATAACTATTGAAGATTACAATAAGTCTAAACATTTCTACGTGAAATGAGTTTTCTCATTTCAAAAAAATTTTTAATAGTCTCTAATCTACCAAAAATATGGACAAGAAATTGAAGTTGCTGTACCGAAAGAGATATTATCAAATATATATACATATACAGTAAAACTCACCTCACATGGCGGAATGCAGAGTTCAAAAAGATAAGTCCAGACATAAAAAAAACATCCAATATGGGCAACTAAAAATGAAAAAATCAAAAACACCAATAGCCAGAAGATAAACCACAACGGATTTTTCATTGCTGCTGACGACACTAACGCTGTAAAAGTAATTTTAGATTAGACTAATAAGTTTCTATCCTTATCACCTTTTACTCTGAAATCTTTACTATTCAATTTAAATAGTAGGTATTACAGTATACAATTTCATGAAGCGTTTCAAAGTATATAGGTTCCGTTCACATAACACGATCAGAATTGAGAAACACTTTTATGTTAAAAAATATTTATCTAATTTTTTTAATGAAATATAAAATATTAATTTCAAAATTAAAACAAATGTCAGTAAAATATGGAAATTACTGAGTTGCTTATCTTTATCATAGTCGTATATGAAATTACTCAAATAATACCGTACTTTAATTAATTAGTGCGAAGAGTTTTTTCTCCAGTTTATTAGATATATCGTTACTTACTCAATCTCCATTGTATTTGCGAAAACCAAGTAAGTGGTTAGAAAATAATTATGTACACATAATTACACAGAGTTATAATATTTATACTTTCAACCCAAAACTATGGTTATAGCGTCAACCGTTTATAGATTAAACTAATGTTCAGCGATCACAATGACTAATCACAGTGAGTTGACTTATTACTTACGTTTTATTTTTATATGTTTTCCATCAAAATATATATTTGTTCCGATTGGTTTGGATTCATATCAATGCTCACATAGGTGTGTAGTCATACCCCATTATTTCTTAAAAAAATGATGTTATAATATTAATAAAACTTAGAAGGTTTTTGAATTCCAAAGAAAGAAAGGAAAAACACAAAAATTTTAGGCAATTTATTGAAATTAGGCTGACCATACAACGCTGTTTCGAGTATTGCCAAGTACTCATCATCTTAACTCATTTTCTTAGGAAATAATCGAATTTAATTAGTTTATAGTCTGTATATAACTTGTTTGGACTGCAAGTGTTAGGCTTAGAACTCATGCCTGTCAAATTAGAAGCGATGACTAATCGTGTTTATCCACAAGTATCCAAGGTAGCACAAACTTTCACTGCTCTAGTTACAGGTTTTTTTTGTGTTTGTTCTTTCTTTCTTTGCTATTCGAAAATCCTCCAAATTCTAAAAATAGCTTCTTTATCATGAATGCCCATGCCTTTCCCCGCCCATGAATGCTTCATTCTTTGCTGTATAGAATATTCAACAGCTTTTGTAGTCCATAACCTACGAAAGGCTTTAAATATCTAGATGTATTCTTTATCGAAATGAAATCAGAAAGATCGACAACGAAATATATCGAACGATGATAAACTAGGCAAACAAAGCTCGTTATATTCCGGAGAATAGCGTTCCCAAAACATATTTTTTGACACAAAAACATATTTTTTGACACATAAAATATGTTTTTTATTGTTAATGATTTTATTAGACTTTTTATTAAATAAATTTATATTACTATATTAAAATATTATTTACACTAACATAAAATATTTTAAAAAAATTAAAACATTTTTATTGTATATATACATATATATATTAAATTGTATTAAAATGGTGATTGGCAATCCATCATTGCCTGTGCACAGTAATGAGGAAATTGAACGATTTGCAACAACATATCAGTAAGACCCTGAAAATTAATATTCATTAATTATTAAATACATTATTAATAAATTTAATAAAAAAAATGTTTCAAAATTAATATAAAAAAAAAACAAAATTTAATTGAAAAATGAATTTTACTCAAATTTTACTCACCGATAAGCCCGAACAACACACCACTAACACATACACGAAAATATAGAACCAAGCAGCAATAAATGCAACCCAGAATGATATGAAAATTAATACTAAAAGCCAGAAAATAAACCAGATTGGGTTACCCATATTCTTGTTTTATATTGCTTAACGGGACCTCGAGCAGTAGTGAATCGTTATCTAAAAAGAATCAAAAAAAGAAAATTAATTTTGTCATATTTTAAATACTAATTAAAAAATTTTAAAGATTGGGTTAGATTTGGTTACACCGGCGATCCAAAGGAATTCACTTAGATCTATAGACCCATTGTCTTACCATATATAGAAAAACTAGAGGTTTAGAACCAATTAAAGCTATTCTATTAGTTTTGGGAAAGCTATTCAAGGGACCAAGGTGCTCCTAAAAGAAAGCCCCTAATGTGGTGAGGCGGCGCCACGCATATGCCAAACTGAAACAAAGCAGATAGAAGGCATTACCATCGTCCTCTCCACAATTGCGGCAGGTATGATTGAAATGGGAATTTCAATCTTCTGGCATGATTACCTTAAATGCACTGACATGTTAGTAAACCTACCACAAGACTGATATCTCAACGGTGCACGTCAATGAGAAAATTGGATTTTTCGAATAAAACGCAGAATTCTTTAGAAAAGTAAGCAGATATGTTGAGACGAATATATATCATATTTTCAACGACAAAGAGGAACTGCATCCTTCACCTTTCACGTAAACAATCTCTTAATTTTCTCGTAAAAGTCAGAACTATTTGGTTATAGTTGCTCGAAGATGAGAACTTACAAGTATTTTTAAATTGTAATTGAGTGCGCCCCATATTGGGTAAAATTGCCCTGAACTAATGTGGCTGTTTTATCTAGCCTTGCACCAGCAATTTGGTTTAAAGACACGTTTATAAGTTATTCCTTGATCATAGAAATAAACATAACATGGGGATGGATGTATATTTTCAATATTAGTTGAGATACAAAGATTTCTTTTGTATGAAGTTTAGCTGAAAAAACTTTCTTTTTTATTAAAAAACACAGTAATAGTTATTTGAAAAATAATATTTTTATATAATCTTTCAATTATATTATTATTATATATAATTATTATATAATATGTAAAAATTCGACAAGTAGGCAACAAAGCTAACCACGCACCATAAGACAAACGTAACTGATGCACAATGTAATAAACATTTAGAAACTGAGTACTAGAAGGAACTCGGAACGCAATACCAATTGTTCTTCTCTCTTATAATGACAACCGAAAAATTTAGTGAATAAATTTTTTCATTGCAAATAATTTATGTGATTTAAAATATTTTGAATAATACTTTCTACTAAAAGAAACATGAAAAAAGTTTAAATTGCTTTGTGGTTTTGTTTCGCCTCAGATGATTAGGAATTTGTTAAGCTTAAAAACTAGATGAATACCTGATACATGTATGCTGGACCTCAACTTACATAACGCAGAAAAGAGAAATCCAATAGGCAACCAAATGTTAGGGAAACAAAAACATCAATAGCCAGAAGATGAGCCACAACAGATTTTCAATGCTGCTGACGTCACCAACGCTGGAACTTAACTTCTGCAGTTTTATTATCCTTATCAGTTTCAAACTTTTACTATGAAATGTTAACTACTTAATATACAGAGTAGTCATTACAGCGTACAAAGGATATAGGTTCCGTTCACATAACACGATCAGAATTGAGAAACACTTTTATGTTAAAAAATATTTATCTAATTTTTTTAATGAAATATAAAATATTAATTTCAAAATTAAAACAAATGTCAGTAAAATATGGAAATTACTGAGTTGCTTATCTTTATCATAGTCGTATATGAAATTACTCAAATAATACCGTACTTTAATTAATTAGTGCGAAGAGTTTTTTCTCCAGTTTATTAGATATATCGTTACTTACTCAATCTCCATTGTATTTGCGAAAACCAAGTAAGTGGTTAGAAAATAATTATGTACACATAATTACACAGAGTTATAATATTTATACTTTCAACCCAAAACTATGGTTATAGCGTCAACCGTTTATAGATTAAACTAATGTTCAGCGATCACAATGACTAATCACAGTGAGTTGACTTATTACTTACGTTTTATTTTTATATGTTTTCCATCAAAATATATATTTGTTCCGATTGGTTTGGATTCATATCAATGCTCACATAGGTGTGTAGTCATACCCCATTATTTCTTAAAAAAATGATGTTATAATATTAATAAAACTTAGAAGGTTTTTGAATTCCAAAGAAAGAAAGGAAAAACACAAAAATTTTAGGCAATTTATTGAAATTAGGCTGACCATACAACGCTGTTTCGAGTATTGCCAAGTACTCATCATCTTAACTCATTTTCTTAGGAAATAATCGAATTTAATTAGTTTATAGTCTGTATATAACTTGTTTGGACTGCAAGTGTTAGGCTTAGAACTCATGCCTGTCAAATTAGAAGCGATGACTAATCGTGTTTATCCACAAGTATCCAAGGTAGCACAAACTTTCACTGCTCTAGTTACAGGTTTTTTTTGTGTTTGTTCTTTCTTTCTTTGCTATTCGAAAATCCTCCAAATTCTAAAAATAGCTTCTTTATCATGAATGCCAATGCCTTTCCCCGCCCATGAATGCTTCATTCTTTGCTGTATAGAATATTCAACAGTTTTTGTAGTCCATAACCCATGAAAGGCTTTAAATATCTAGATGTATTCTTTATCGAAATGAAATCAGAAAGATCGACAACGATGATAAACTAGGCAAACAAAGCTCGTTATATTCCGGAGAATAGCGTTTCCAAAACATATTTTTTGTCACTTCAAGACAAACAAACTAGGACTATTCTTATACTTTATTTAATGTACAATCTAAGTAATAATTTTGACCACAAAAATGAAGTTACCATAATTCCAGTGATCCATTCTGTTGAAAGACTTTAACCCTATTAATTTCTATTATCTATTATATGTGAAAGCTTAAGTGAATAATTAATAAAAATAAAAGTACAATATTTAAAGTATTTTGTCATAAAATAATATCGATTATTGCCAAATACCCAACATCAGGGATAATTGATAAATATTTCTGGAAATTAGATTAATTAATTATTATTATTAATTAACCAATGTACAGAGTTTAAGCTCAGTGTCACACTTGTGAGCTAACTGACCCAATGAAGCACCTGACTTGTATTATTCTAACTTGGAACTGTGTCAATTTGTTGTTACCGTTAAGCAAGAAATTTCCTTTCTCTGATATTACATAAATCATAGCTATTTATTATCACTATAATTCTTATAATCGTACTCCTTGCCGCATCTACCTCTCAAAACCAATACTAAAAATATTACTTTATTGTTTTTATTGTTAATGATTTTATTAGATTTTTTATTTAATTAATTTATATTACTATATTAAAATATTATTTACAACTAACATAAAATATATATATATATATATATATATATATAATATATATATATATATTAAAATATATTAAAATGGTGCTCGGCACTCCATCATTGCCTTTGCACAGTAATGAGGAAATTGAATGACTTGCAACAACATATCAGTAAGACCCTGAAAATTAATATTCATTAATTATTAAATAAATTATTATAAAATTTAATAAAAAATGTTTTAAACTTAATATAAAAAAAAAAAAATTTAATTGAAAAATGAACTCACCGATAAGCCCGAACACCACACCACTAACACATACAAGAAAATATAGAACCAAGAAGCGATAAATGCAATCCAGAATGATATGAAAATTAATACTAAAAGCCAGAAAATAAACCAGATTGGGTTACCCATATTCTTGTTTTATATTGCTTAACGGACCTCGAGCAGTAGTGAATCGTTATCTAAAAAGAATCAAAAAAGAAAATTAATTTTGTCATATTTTAAATACTAATTAAAAAATTTTAAAGATTGGGTTAGATTTGGTTATACCGGCGATCCAAAGGAATTCACTTGTATCTATAGACCCATTGTCTTACCATATATAGAAAAACTAGAGGTTTAGAACCAATTAAAGCTATTCTATTAGTTTTGGGAAAGCTATTCAAGGGACCAAGGTGCTCCTAAAAGAAAGCCCCTAATGTGGTGAGGCGGCGCCACGCATATGCCAAACTGAAACAAAGCAGATAGAAGGCATTACCATCGTCCTCTCCACAATTGCGGCAGGTATGATTGAAATGGGAATTTCAATCTTCGGGCATGATTACCTTAAATGCACTGACATGTTAGTAAACCTACCACAAGACTGATATCTCAACGGTGCATCTCAATGAAAAAATTGGATTTCCTTTTATTACAAAACCAAAATATTTTAAAAACATTGTAATTTGTTTTAATTAGATAACAATGTAAATAATGTACTTTACGGTACGTTATTTAAAAGTTTATGGCAACTGTGAATCGTAAAAATATTTAAAGCGGTTCAATTTATTAGTTCCATATTCTAAGCCAACATTTCCAATGTGACCCTTATGAATAAAACACAGAATTGTTTAGAAAAGTAAGCAGATATGTTGAGACGAATATTTATCATATTTCAAACGACAAAGAGGTACTGTATACTTCACCTTTCACATAAACAATCTCTTAATTTTGCTCGAAGTCAGAATTATTTGGTTATAGTTGCTCGAAGATGAGAATTTACAAGTAATTTTAAATTGTAATTGAGAGCGCCCCATTTTGGGAAAAATGGCCCTGAACCAATGTGGCTGTTTTATCCAGCCTTGCACCAGCAATTTGATTTATTAAAGATAAATCAATTTGGAGGTATTCACTGTTAAGCGCACATTAGCTTCGAATGCGAGTGAATTTTCTACAATATAACCCAACTTTCTGAACTCAATAAAAAATTCAAAATTGAGAATAATAACACATCACCCAATAAGTCGTCTGACTAACTGAGAAAAACAAATATTTTCTGCCAAAAATCAATTTTACTCATCAGTATAATCTACTTCAAGGGCAATTATTCCAACGCTTCTCTAACTTCTCGATGCCGAGCAGTTTCAGCAATTAATTCTTCATTTGAGATAAATTTCTTACCGGTGAACATTTTTTTGAGATCAGCGAATAGCCAGTAATCGCTGGGGGCCAGATCTGGATTATAGGGTGGATGAGGAAGCAATTCGAAGTGTAATTTGTGCAATTTTGTCATCGTTTTTATTGACTTGTGACATAGTGCACTGTCTTGATGAAACAAAATTTTTTTCTTCGACATATGCAGTCGTTTTTTCACAATTTCTGCTTTCAAACGATCCAGTAATGCCGTGTAGTAGTTACTATTGATGGTGTTTCTCTTTTCAAAATAGTCAATGAAGATTATACCATGTGTATCCCAAAATACTAAAGCCACAACCTTACCAGCTCACTGTTGTGCCTTTAGACGCTTCAGATGTGGCTCACCGATTGCAGTCCACTCAGATGACCATCGTTTTGACTCCGGAGTGAAGTGATGGATCCATGTTTCATCCATTATCACATATCGACGCAAAAAATCTGATTTATTACGTGTAAATATCGCCAAACACTGCTCTGAATCATTAACACGTTGTTGTTTTTAATCGACTGTGAGTAAACGCGACACCCACTTTGAAAAGAGCTTTCTCATGGTCAAATATTCATGCATAATTGTAAACACACTGCCTGCTGATATCTTTACGGTCTCAGCTTTCTCACACAATTTCAATTTACGATCAGATATAACCAATTTCTGAACTTTTTTTGAAGTTTTCTGGAGTAACCAACTCAATTGAACGACCAAAACGTTCACCATCATCGGTGTCTGTGCGACCACGTTTAAATTCAGCAAACTAATAACAAATAGTTTTTTTCGATGGAGCAGAGTCCGGATAACACTTTTGAAGCCATTGCTGAGCTTGTACAGTATTTTTTTTAATCAAGTAGCAATGATGAATTAACAAACGAAATTGGTTTGAACCCATTGTTTTGAAAATAATAATAGTAGCTTCACTTAAACGGCTGTCACTTTTTCCTGACTAATCGAAATGTCATGGTATTTTACACATAGTCTTTTGAAGGTTGGTACTTCATAAAGGTCATATGGATTTGACAATGGCAGCGCCATCTGTGTGTCAGTCGTACGACTTATTAAGTGATGTAATATTAGTGATTCGAGAAAAGAAGAGAGAAGAAGAAAGCCATTTATTACCTTAGATCCGTGGAGGTGGGTATTTGCAATAATGGCTTTGTAGCGTCATGATTTAATTCATAATAGCGCCCAGCAAAACATAGAAAAAACTGATGAAAGTTATCCTAATGATTTTAATAATCGACATTTTTCTTATTTCAATTTTACTCGAAAATTGAATAACGTCGAAACGCAATATCGCACATGGTTATTTTACTTTAAATATCAAAATAAAGTTTATTGATTTTCAGAGTTGAAATTGAAGGAACTCTGAAAGCAGTACAAATTGTTCTTCTCTCTTATAATGACAACCGAAAAATTTAGTGAATAAATTTTTTTTTCATTGCAAATAATTTGTGATTAAAAATGTATTGAATAATACTTTCTACTAAAAGAAACATGAAAAAAGTTTAAATTGCTTTGTGGTTTTGTTTTGCCTCAGATGATTAGAAATTTGTTAAGCTTTAAAACTAGATTAATACTTCTCAGATACATACATGCTAGACCTTCACTCACATAACGCAAGTGGAGTACCACTTAATGCAATAACAAGTTCACTTCAGTCTCGAACCCCACAGAACACTCCAAATTATTTTAAATTTATAATTTTTAACATTATTTGTTGTATTTTATTCGCAATAAAATGGAAATAATAACTTTTAGAAAATTCTTTAAGTAAAAGAACCGACATTTATTGATAAACATTTTTTAGTCATTGACAAATGATAAGATTACAAAAGCCTCTATAATGAATCATTCAACAAAATATTTTAGATTTCAGGAAAATATTTACAGATAAGTGAAACATATGTTCTTCCCCGATTAAATCATTGATTACTCTTGAATCCATGAAAACAATATTTAAACACACAGAAAAATTACATAGAGATAAGACTTATAACATTGTGTATTGTGCATATAAAATATATAAATACCTAATTATAACAGGAAATATTTTTTTTTGATTAAGTAATAACATCCAGAATAAAACAAAAAGAAGCAAGTTCGTCTATATCTATGCAGGTATAGAGCGCCCGAGTGAAATAACATGTTTCTAAAAATAATTTTTAATTGTCAATGCATCCGATATTGGAATTCTCCAGTATTTATGGACCAATGCAGACCTGTTATGTCCCACATTCTATTTACAGTTTTATAAATGCACCTTCTTTAATGTAAAAATCGATGCCAATGGTCCCTCATTTTGCCTTCCTTAGTGTACTATACATATTGGGTCCAATATTCGTATAGCGATTTACCATTACTATGCGCAATATAGCTTAGTACACTTTTTAGTATTTAAACAAAAATTTTAACAAAAATATTTTACGTTGAAGTTAATTTACTTTAAAATAACGGAATTATATTAAGTGGAGGCTGATATTATCGTAAATAATCTTTACCACACATAGCGATATCGATGGACCTCGCATTATATTATATACAAAATATGATTCAAAATCAAAAAAGTGGACTTCAGTTTAATTCAAATTTAAAGATAATTCCTGCTGATATTTGCAGTCATTCATAAAATGCAATTATACGATATTTTATTCGATATTATAAATTCAAAGTGAAGGTCCAACCAGTTAAACAGATATACATAACGTTAGTAGTAGATATTTCTATTTATATAACTATAAGGGTATGTACACAGAATAGTAAGAAAAACGAAGCAATTTCAATTTTGGTTTATACTAGCACTTAACACTTAACAAATTGGACTTAACACTAGAATTCCTAGTATTTATAAAACAAAAGAAAGTTAGAAGTAGATATCAACTGATTAGTAAACTCTAATGTCACGATCTACCCATTTCACTCAAATATGAAGTGTGAAACGGGGGCGACGGGTATCTACTCGAGAGATATGCGAATAAGACAGTTATCCGGACTTTCTGATACTTGCAGTTTTTTTCAGGGTTGAAATATACTTAATCAAATAAACAGCCAGGTTAATACAAGTTAGAACAATTTGTCTTCCGAATATTAAACTTTATTTGTAAACAGTCATGCAATATTGAAAGCAATACATTCCAGAACGGTAAAATGAAGGATTGCTGTGATACATATATTGCGGCACCTTTATGAACATCCAATATCACAAGGTGTCTTTACTTTCCTGGGTTCCTGAAGTTAGGAACTTTAAAGAAAACAAGGCATAAGACTTCAATATCTAGGCGAAAATTTATATTGTTGGATCTCTTTAGCTTCATCTCTTTACCTAGAGACAACAACAATTTATGTAACTGGCCTGACCCAGGTAATTTTTAGTGCATCAGAATGGGATGTCTTCGAGTGAAAGTATTGATTGTTGTATCAGCAAGCAGTCGCTCAATCTAACATAACCTTGGAATAATAAAATGCTACCATTTCATTTAATTACAGTTACTGAAGTCATTTGATTTGATTTGATATATCTATATCTAGTATAATATATAATGTAATCTATACAAGTATAACATAATATATATAAAAATTATAACTAGACAAAAAAGTACATTTAATTCAGTATTCGTTAGAGTATCAGAACAGATTATATAAGTGGATCCATTGATCCACTTAGGTTGATTACCAATTGTGTTATTGCATAAAACTCAAACGGTTACTGTAAGATGAGGTTCTACAACTAACTACGATTCTCTAGAAATTAGCCCCAAGAATACTCATAACATAGATATTTTTTTTTTTTTTTTTTTTCTCAAGAAGGGTTGGGAAGTAGTCTCCGCGTCACTGCATCCTCGAGGATTATTGTGACATACCCACTTCAGTTCCATAGACGAGTAGCAGTTAAGAATGCCAGTATGTCCTTTGGAGAGATGTTGCCTACTTCCGTTATAAGCGGATATGCAATGGATAAGTAGCGAAGTCTGAGTCTTGCAAGACTATCACAGTGACACAATATGTGTTCTGCTGTTTTCTCTTCTTCGTAACAAAGTCTACAGCTATCGTCTCCAGTAATACCTAGATTCAATAAATGTTTTTTAACTCCGCAGTGTCCAGTTAGAAAACCTGTGACAAGTCGGATGCCACTTCTGTTCAGCATAAGTAGCTCCCTAGTTCTGGCTTTTGATCGAAACGGCATGGATTCTTTTGGTTGTCTGCAGGTAATTGTATTATCCCAATCATTCTGAGCTGCTTTTTCCAACCATTCATTAGTTTTAAGTTTGAAAAAGCTCCACGAAGGACCGCAGAATGGTTGTGGCCCAATATAGTATGAGGCCGCCCCTTTTTTCGCTAGTTCATCTGCTTTTTCGTTTCCCTCAAAACCGCTGTGCCCTGGAATCCATATTAAGTAGACTCTGTTCTTTTCAGCAAGGTCTTTGAGAAGTAGAAGGCATTCCCACACTATTTTTGAGGTTACTCGAGGTGAGCGTAGTGCCAGGAGTGCCGATTTACTGTCAGAAAAGATATATATGTTTTTTCCCGTGACGGGTTTACCTTTATATACCCTGAGACATAATTCAATTGCGTGTACTTCAGCGTGAAAAACTGAGTTTTCTTTACTCATACTCGCAAATATTTCCTCTTTAGGTCTTACTCCATATACTCCCGCCCCCACTCCTTCCATCGTTTTGGAGCCATCCGTGTACCACAGATGGTAGTCTCCAGCGAATGGAGGTATGTTCCGTTCCCATTCATTTCTGTCTGGTATTAGTATTAGGAACTTTTGGTGAAAGTTGAATTTAGGTAAGCAAATGTCAGATATGGTGATATTTAGTCCTTCCTCTCTTTGCATTTCCCTACCTAACAGGGAGTTATCGAGTAGTCTTGTTGATTGATTGCTAGTCAACTGTAGCTTGGCCATAAAAGTCATTGCTTCCTTTTTGACTAGTAGGTGAAGTGGGGGGAGCCCCAATGCAACCTCTAGGGCTGCTGTCGGGGTAGTTCTCATCGCTCCACTTGTCATTATGCAGGCTAATCTCTGCAGCTTGCGAAGTTTATCTATTACAGTCTTCTGTTGTGCTAACATAGATATAAAGCACTTTTCTTAATTTTTCAATACAATATTAAGTTAAATAATTATTGAAATGAAAGTGAAAACGTTATAAATATTATAAAGTTAATAAAGTCAATTAATCAGTGGGCATGGTTATTCACAGCCACAAGTAGTTCAAAACAAAAGTAATAAAACGTTTTTATTAAAGTTTATTTATTGCATAGTTAAGTAAATAATGAAATATTGGAACGTGTCTTCCACAATAAATCACCTATAATTTTGCGATATATGAATTTGATACCGCATAAAACGAATAGGTTTCTCTGACTGCATTCAGTACAACGACATGCGCTGATTTAGACCAATACACATTCTTCCATGTTTGGATGGAACATACTTTCAATAAGTATATAAGTTTTGGAAGATACCAAAACGGTCTTTAGACCCGTCAAAGTTTTTCAAATGTATCACATTGTACATATTAATCGAATTTTTGAAAGTGTTTTCTTTGAGAAGTTTAAATATACACCTCCACTGATTAGGCGTATAAATTATACACATGATGTCATGCGGGCATGGTGCATACATATATGATAAGAGCACTTTATCGTATCGGTCTTCAATAGAGAAACGCATATTTATTCAAAGTTTATATTTTCTTATATTTTTTTTTTTTCTTTTGTGATATTTTAGTCATTTTGTGTAGGTATTTAAAAACGATTTAATATATTTTAAGCTTTGTAGTTATTATAATATGAAAAGAAACTATTTGGTTAAGAAAAATTAATAAAAAAAAACACTAAAACTTATACGTTTATCGTAAATAATATTATTTAACTTTATTTTTCATTAACACAATATTTGTAAATAGATTTTATTTATAGTATTTGTTGTTTTTATTGTTTATATTGAGTCAATTTACATATATGGTAAACAAACTTGAATTGAAATTAACAACTTATTTGGAAAAAAATTTTGAATTAAACATTCTACACACAGAAATTGCAATTAATTCAAGTCATTAAAAGTTTTATTTTAGTAAACATTAACAAATCTCTAAAGAATTTGTATTATTTTGTTATTAAATATTTTAGAAGACTATAAATATTGCTTTCTTCAAAAACAAGAAGAACGAACTTACTTTTATTGTTTTGGCGCGACCAAACCGTACGAAATCAAAATATTTACTGAATTGGAGAAACTCAGCAGATACGAAAACAAGTTGAAGAGAGAACTCGTCTCGGCGCATATCGCAAAAGCTTGTTTCTTTCTACACCTTTCCGATCGCGTTGCAATTCTACGCAATACCTTCACCTATCAATTTTATCGCTTACTAGGCGTTCCCGACGTAATGTTAGCAAAGCAAAGCAAACAACAAAAAACAAGAAAATTATTTAATTTTTTTTTTCTATGTTATGGTAAAGTGATGTTCTTCACCGAAGGTAAGAGTCCTCAATTGCTTTCTTAAGATACAAACAAAAAATTATGGATAATAGAAAATAAAATTTATACTCCAAATCTGGTTTACATCTAAGCTAAACTCAAAATGTATTCATTTGTATTATTCCAGCACAACCTTCGAGTAAAACTTTTGAGTTTAGAAATAATAAACCACATATAGCATGCCATCATCTCAGTAACCTTACAACATTCTATGAATTAATATAAATTGTAAATTCATATATATATATATATATATTATAGTAGTATATACACAGCTTTATTTTACTTCATTTTAAGTATTTTACATAGAAATTTATAACAATTATATTATATATAAAGCTTACAGCTGTGGCATTTTCGGCGTCTGCCGCTTTAAATTTTATATATATAAATATTTTTTTAATTTATATATCTGTACTAACTTGTGGATTTTAATTTCTTAACATATGTATATATATATATATATATTTTCCTTATAAAGTACTTTTAAAGCCCTAAGTCATATCATATCATAAAAGTATGATTTAAGACTGGGCGTTAGAAGCACTAGTCAAGGTGATTCACTATGAAAAGGTGCGCTTCTTTAATAATGTTTATTATATTAAATGAATACATTAGTGTGATATCATGGCGCAAAATTTTTGAATAATGACGACATTTATGAATGTACGAGTGTCAAATAATAAAAAAATTCTTAGTTCAATTAAAAGCCAACGAGATACATTTACACTAACTTAAATGCTCTCCACTCTACATGGTTGAATCAAAATTAACAATTTAATTTTAAAACACTCATAAAACACTTGAAACAATTAAGATATTTGATAATCAGTTTAAAATATTTGAAATTGCGCTCCATATATATTACATATAAAATTGTATTGATATAAAAATATATAAACATACATACATATGTGTATGTATGTCACTCAGTCACTCAGAAACTAACGACTAATAAGTTTTATATATAAATAAAATTGACTGTATTCATCAATACTATTGCTATCTATAAGCTGATCTTAAAAGTATGCTAAAATGAAAGTGATTAAACTGTACTAATCAAGACATATCCGATATGTTATGTATATTATATTATATGCTAAGAAAAAACTAAACTATATATGCTTTTTATATTGCATTGAATTACAATGATGAATTACATTTTTTATCTATAATCATATTTTTTTATATATTTTATATATATATAATATATATATATATATTATCATATAATAATCATTTAATATATGTTATTTTACCTTGACGAGACTAGTTATTTTGTCATATTTTAATAAGTGTCCATGCAGAATAGTGGTTCTTAGCCGGTAGTTTGCGGAGCACAGCTGGTCCGCGAGATAGTTAAGAATGATGCATGAATCAATTTTAACAGGTATGGATAGATAGCTTGTCGTTTGTCAACTGAGACCTAGAAAAAATTTATCCGTCTGGACACGATTTGATCTTCACACACCCATCCCAATCCACCTCTTTTCCCTATTCCGACTCCCACTCCCCACCCTCAACCACCAACCATCCACATCCTAACTCATGTTATCTGTTTTCAGGTCCCACCGGGTTACAACAACAACTGCGGCGGTCTTTGCATGAAAAGTGATAACTGGGGACTGGCAATATTGCACAGTTAAGATAGAGATCAATTTTTAAAAGTTTACGTTTGACAGAGTTTCCACTCTATTAATAGTTAACTTTTATTAGGATATCGTAAGTACTGTGAAATGAATTCCGTTATTTTAAATTGAATTCTTTTTGTAGTAAACACCAAATTTTTCTTTCCAAAGGAACTTAGCAAACCACCGACAAATAATTAATTTCAAGGAGATATAGTGAGCGCAATTTACTTAGACGCACTTAATATTTTTTCAAAAATGATACAACGAACTCGAATATAAATGTTTTTTTTGTTGAAAAAGAAAAAGCAGTGCTTGATAGTAAAAAACAAAAAAGAAATATATTTCATATCAGTCATTCTTCTTACATATGTACAAAAACACAAAAATAAGGCAAAATAAACGCGCAATTTTCTTAGGCGCACTATGTGTAAACAAAAGAAATCAAAGAGTTTTCACAGTTTTGACAATGCTTAATACTTTGTAATTCCTCCGTTTTGGTTTATAACTGAAAAAATTCGATTTGGCATCGAATCTATCAATTTTTTGACAATCACATCGTCGATTTTGTCCCAAGCCTCTTGGATTGATGCTTTGAGCTCACTTACTGTGGAATACTGACGTCCGTTGGCATAGACCTTCCGTGAAATTATTCCCCATAGGTTCTCAATGGGTTTTAGGTCAGGACTCCTTGCTGGCCAATTCATTACCGTTATCTGCTTCGACGAGAAGTAAGACTTTGATAGCTTGGACACATGAATGGCGGCGTTATCCTGCTGGAAAATTAGATCCCGATCGGCGTGTTCCTCCAGAAACTTTATAAGAACGCCTTCCAGCATTTCAGTGTACTTCTCTGAGTTCATTCTTGTATTTATGAAGCACAAAGTAAGTTTTCCATGGAGTGAAAAGCCGCCCCATATCATGACAAATCCGCCTCCAAAGTTTCTACTCATTCTTATGGGATTGTTTTGGCGAAGATCATGCCAGTAAGAGCTGAAACCGTCTGGCCCGTCCAAGTTAAATTTTTTCTCGTCCGAAAAAATAACCGAGTGCCATTCTTTGGTCCAATGCATATGATTTTTAGCAAAAACAATGCGAATCTTCTTGTGCATTTCTTTCAGAGGGGGCCGTTTCATCATTTTCTTCCATTTTATGTGGCCATCTGCATGTAAAATTTGCAGCACTCTTCTTTTTTTAATTGGTAGCTGCAATTTTGATGCGATTTGAGCTGCACTGAGCCGATTTTTTGTTGCTTCTTCCTTTATTTGGTTTTTGAGTCGCCGATTTATCTTTGCATTTCGCTTGTTATTCGTAGGGGCTTTACCATATTCCTCACCCATACGTAAAAAATTTCTTACAACGTGTTCCGATCGGTTTGTGTGGCGTGCAATTTTCCTCTTTGAGAATCCATTTTGATGTAAACACCCTATTTTGGCTTTTTCATCAGCGCTCAGAAATTTTCCCTATGCCATTCGACTTGCGCAAATGCGAAGCCTATTTCGTAAAGAATTTGTATGGTTTTTGCTTTTAGAATATTAGCTCAAATATTAATGTGTTATGAAATACAAACCTTCTTACAGAACAATCAAATAAACTAATCCGAACTACCGAAACAAATATATGCGTCTATAAAAATTGCGCACTTACTTAGCTTCTTTTTTATGAAATTCACCGTTATAACTTTGCAAAATAAAAATCACACTCCTTTTATGTTTGTTAACGTTTAGTAATGGAAAAGAAAAAACAATAATGAAAAAAGATCAATAGCTTTGCTCCTTAACAAAAATAAAAGCATTTTTTTTGTGTGCGTCTAAGTAAATTACGCTCACTGTAATGTCGCCTATATATTTTTTAAAGCCAGTGCCTTGTTTGCATCGTATTTTTCTCATTAAGAAACTGCTTTTTTTTTAATTGTTTCACAAATACTAAAAGTAACAACAACAGGCGTTACTTAGTAACTAATCCACGTAATATTTATCTTGAAGACCTCATTTGAAGATTGTCATATAGCAAAAATATGTGCATTTGATAATTAGCTCTGAAATTCAATCGAAAGTCCCAGATTAATTATGGTTTATTAAATTTAATATATATCCTATTTTCTGTTATAGAAAATATATAAAGTTACTTTTGTCTGTGAATGTCAATAACTTCATAAAAATGAAGATAGGTGAGCCACAGTAAATGAATAACTAAAAGACCATGACAGAATATCCTTTTTTCTGGGATTTAAGAAACAAGTTGATACCTTTTTATATTGGGTACGAAATGTTTTAAACAGTCCTCATATAAAGTAATTGCACATGGAATGACACTTTAAAGCTGTGCGACAACTTAGATTTTGTTGGCATTACCACATTAAATACGGTCAGATATAGTGCCTCGTGAACTCGTTTCCAGAATCTTATGACCCCTTCGCGATATAATCATAAATGAAATGGAATGATACTTTATAGCTGTGCGAAAACTTAGATTTCGTTGGCATTACCACATTAAATAACATATGGTCAGATATATTGCCTCGTCAACTCGTTTCTAGAATCTTCTGACCCCTTCGCGTTAAAATCATAAATGAAATAGAATGATACTTTATAGCTGTGCGAGCACATAGATTTCGTTGGCATTTACCACATTAAATACGGTCAGATATATTGCCTCGTGGACTCGTTTCCAGAATCTTCTGACCCCTTTGCGTTAAAATCATAAATGAAATAGAATGATACTTTATAGCTGTGCGAGAACTTAGATTTCGTTGGCATTACCACATTAAATACGGGTAGATATATTGCCGTGTCAACTCGTTTTCAGAATCTTCTGACCCCTTCACGATATAATCATAAATCTATCAAAAAGCGGATGAGATCACCTCTTACTCTACTTTATTCAAAAACTATACAAAAGTAGGAAAGCCATTTAATAAATTTTTTTTTAATTAAAAACTTTCCATTTGATAGTCCATAATAATTATGCATTATCAAATAGTTGATGAATAAGTCATTATGATACAGCTTTGACAAGCATATATTATATGGAACATACAATATCTAGAAATAAGCATTCATATGTTTACAGATATAAAAATAAATGTATTTAAATAAAATTCATGAGCTAATTGCATTCATATCAGTTTAATTGTATTTTTTGTTTAATACAAAAAAAGAACTATAATAAAAAGATTTACAATAAATTACATTTACTATAAGCTTTTTAGTTTATTTTTTAGCGGAACAAAATCAGATGCATGTCTCCACCGATTTTCCTACAGCAGCTGCATCTTCTGGTGACGTCGAAGAACTTTGGTGTGTCAATCAATCAATAACACAGGTCAAGAACTATTGCTGGCGATTAGCTATATAAACCCGCCGTTTATCGATGCCTTCTCAGTTATATTCGCGCGATTTCTTGTTAGGACAGTTTGTCAGTGCAAGTGCAGCAGTTGCTCTTTTATCCGAGATCAGTGGTTTTTTACTGTTGCGTGGAACTTCTGAATTTTATATTTTATTCCAAATAATATTATATATACTCTAAATAAAATAGCAGGTAAAGTAATTTTCATCGATACAGATATTGAAGTATCATAGCATCACTATGGATTGCTTTTTTTATTTTATTTCAATTCATTTATATTAACTATTCAAACTTATTAAAATATGTAAACTTTATAAAGAATGATCGACTCAAAGAATAAAATTCCTAAATATACATCTGATGCTTTTGACAATGTCGAGTATGAATTACGCATAACGTACACCGTGGAAACTGATCGGCGGATAATGAGTTTTGTGGACACTTTATGGGGTATTGAGGTCACCGGTGGAAGTGATCAATTTGAGCCATTAACAATAGTTAACGTCACACCAACTGGTTTGGCTAAACGCGCTGGCATGCGCATCGGAGATGAAATCACCCAAATTAATGACACACCTGCTTTGGATTTAACTTTCCGGCAGGCTTTGGATTTATTTCGTAAAACTGGCAGATATGTGCGCGTTTATGTAAGAGGGTAAGGCACATGTTTGAAAATTATTAATTTTTAAATTATAACAATCACAAAATTTGTTTAGTGATATTGATGATGACGGCGAAGAAGATTGGACATGTGATTTATGGTTTAGACCACGTAAGTTTATTTATATATACTGTTCCGAATGTACAAGCTTTAATTATTAATTTTATGAATAGGTAAACCATGGAGACGAGATTTCACACCTATTCAATGGGTATTTCCATGGAATGATCGTCGTAAACCTGTGTACCGTGAATCTAATTGCTATATGGTACCAAGCAAAGTTGAAGAGAAAATTAGAGCACGCCGCGCTGCTACCTCAAATGTTGCTGCTAAGAAGAAAGGAGAGGCACCACCACACACTAGGTCATTAACACCTACGCCTAGGCCTAAAAATCAACCAGGACCCAACTTACTGGAGACCGTACTAAAACCTAAAGGACTGCCACCAAAAGAATAGGCTGCAAAATGTTGATAGACCAATTGTGAAATCTAAAATTTTAAAAGTGTTTCCACTTTGATTTGCAAACAAATATAATAAACGTTATATACTTACGAGCAGGAGCTTGGATGTGAATATGTTTCAAGGCAACAGTGCTGTAAGATTTGCTTTTTTCATTCCGCCAACTAAATTAAGTAGGAAAGGCTGTCATGTTGTAAATTTCATTTGAGAAGAAATAACAGGCGATAATGTATTAGTTTTTAGAAAATTGTTGTGCTTTTATTGTAATTTAATTAAATTTTTTTATGATTCACACAAAACAAAAACAAAGTTTTATTTTTTGTATTGGCAGATGAACGATTCTCTACAATTCAATAAATTCCTCAATTTAATTGCTGCCAATATTTACGCGATCAATGTTATCAGTCATTTCAGAGTTGAATGTCAGTGTCAATGTTACAAAAAATATAAAAACATTTAAATAATTAAATGCAAAAGAAATGAGAAAACCTTTCCGAAAAGCCGTTTTTTTATAGCTCAAAAAGAAAAATAGTTCTTTAACAGTGCAAAATAGTTTTGCATTAAAAAAATAATTAACCACTAAAAAACGGAAAGTATTTTATATTTTACATTTTAGTTTTATATTTCCTAAATTAAATTTATTCAAATTAATTATTATATATAAAAATGCTGTAATTTCTTTTCTTCTATAGACATTTGTAAGGTTCGAGAAGACGATGTTTTCCAACTATGATATTTTTCTTACAATTTTAGGACTTCTTTCCGAAGCTTAGTGAACAGTTATCAAATTCAAAATGTATGTAGAATATATAATTTTTTTTTATTCGCGATGAAGTAGTACAAAAAGTGCTAAAATTGAAAGTATAGCCCACTGGAAAAAAAGGAAGAAGGTATTGTAGGTATACTTCAATGTATGAAAAGTATTTAAAGTCTAGTTTACCTTAACTTTGGGATACTCGTTCATAAATATTGTTATTATGCCAACATACGGTAGGAACCCTCGAGCACGTCCAACAATATCTCTCTTTGTTAACCATAGCTGACCAGGTGCGTATAAACCTCGATCATCAACATTATTGTTATCGCCTTTTGTAAGAAATTTGACTGAACCATCAGCTCTAATAAAAATATGTAAAATATTTTAATATTTTCAATAATTTTTAAAAGTAATAAAATTTTATATTATAAAAAAATTAATTATATATCATCTATTTTCTATCATGCTACTATATAGTATAATAGTATATACTATTGTAATAAGATAGTATAACTTTTTTTAATTTTTACTGGGCTTAGTTCGTTAATTTAACACATAAACATTTAAAATGTTTTTTTTTTTAAATAAAAATTATACCAAAATTTATTTTATAAAAAATTAATAAACAATAAATATTTAACACAAATTTATAAGTGTAATTATTATTTAAAAAAGCATTTTTAATTTTTATGTGTGAAATTAACGACCTAAGCACAGTAATAATTAAAAAAAACGTATTGAATATTAGTCTTAATAACAATTTATAGTATAATAACACTATTATAATATACTTTTAATTTAAATACAAAATTAAGACAAAATATATTTTAAATACTTTACATTATGAGTTACATATATACAATGCCGTATTCATGAGATAACGAAACAGATTCAAAATCTTGCGAAATATACTATTCAATCTTATTTAATTTTTTAATAAAACTTTTACAATATATAATTTACAATATATTATAAACAAAATTAAATCTACCAAAAACAGTCATATAAAATTGTAAATAAGTTTATAATTCCATATTTCAACAAATTTACTAAATATTAATCAGATGAATACACCGATAATATCGATAAAGAAATAGAATAAAAATTAATACGAAATACTCTATGAATTTACTATGTTAATCAACTTGTAATATTTCTAAACACATATGTATAAAAACAATAATGGTATCCTTTCATAAATTCTTGTTAGAATTTTCATGACAAGATCTTAAATTAGTAAAATATTTTAATTCTTATTACAACTATTAAATCAATAATATGTCGCACATACCTATATAACATATTCATAGTAAACAAATATATATAAATAATTTAATCAGTATATAGTTAACATATGTAGATATTATAATTTTCTTGGATAATATCATCGTATATGATAAAGGCATATGGCAAAATTATAATACATGTATATATAAATATATAACTAATATATATAAATATATAACTAATATACATAAATATATAACTAATATATATAAATATATAACTAATATATATAAACATATAACTAATATATATAAATATATAACTAATATATATAAATATATAACTAATATATATAAATATATAACTAATATATATAAATATAATTTAAAAAAAAAAATAATTTAACGTATAATTAAATTATAGAACATTATAAGATTATAAACATTAATCTATATTTAAATCAATAATATTATATTAAAACTAGCTTAATCAATTTTCATAATAAATTTTTTATTTAATATATGTATATAGCCTATAACTATTCTTACTTACTTCTCGTGCAATTTAATCACGCGATGAACTATTGGAATGTCTCTTCCCTCCACTTTAAAAACTACAATTTCGCCGACACGCACTGGTTCTTCTTTGTAATTTGTCAAGAAAAGCAAATCGCCCCTATGGAAAGCCGGTTCCATGCTTCCACTGAGCACCACTACAATAGGTGATTCACTGCCAGTTACAACCATAAGTCCTTTCCAAATCATAAGTGCGGACGATACAATCAAAGCAAAGCTTAAAAGTTGGTAAAGAGACTGAAAGAACAGCGGAAAATAATTTTAACAATATTTGCATACGTGGTAGCCATTAGTTGTGTATGCTCATACCTGTCGCTTGTTCATTCTATTGAAGTCGCGAAACATCTCATCCAACTGAAGGGTTTCTGTAAGCCCCATTTTTATTTTGTTTTCTAAAAACTAATTAACTAATTTGTTAAAAAATACGGCAGGTTATTTTTTACTCCTTTAACGAAACTAAGCCGCTTGGCACGGTCGGCAGTTAAATGACAGACGCTGGTACACGTCAGTTGAAACGCAGGGTTGCATAAATTATTCGAACAGTTTAAAGCAACTATACAACTGCATAGTAGTAGATTAAGCACTTTGAGGATTGAATTTCAGTATATAAATAATTTTTTTGTTTTTTGTTCAAGTTTTATAAGGGCTATCTATATGTTGAAAAAAAATTTTATATGTGCATCAAGTTTTTCCAAATCATTTAAATAATTTAATCTTTATCGCTTATTTACAAATATAAAAAACATTTCGTGTATTCATCATATGTAAACCAAAGGCTACACTTCCAAGTGCTTGGCAATATGCTGCATATATTAGGTCTTGAGTAACACTGTGTATGCACAAGCGCGTCCCATTAGCAAACTTTCGAAAGAGCATAACATCCCTGTCGAAATTTAAAAATGCTATACAAACTTTATTCGTACATGTTATTACAAGTAAAATTTGTGTGATGTGTGAATCAGCTGTTTTGGTTTGAATTTAAATTTTTGTGTTGTTTATTTGCACGGCACTGGTGTTCTCATCAAAATTTACACAAAGCTGAAAATTTGTGTAAAGAGCATAATTTGGTACTTTATTTGTGTTACGCTCACCTTACTTGTACCTTACTTGTATTTTATTTGAGTTTTACTATGAGTAGCAATATTAATATTATTTTATTTGATGTAACTAACTTATTTAGTTAACTGTATTTAGTTAGTCCCAAAATTTTTTTATTACTTCTTAATATCTACAATCTCTTAAAACTTTAACAAAAAACCACTTCATGATTTTTATTTAAACTGAAAAGCTCATTCTATTTTATTCAAATACTGAAGTATTAAATTGCTAAATCAATACATCGTGAGTGCGAGTTTTGTATGCGTGGTTTAATATAAACACATAATACAAAGAAAACATTTTGTATATTTCAAAAACCAACTTACATTAATCTAAAAACTTATTAAGTAAGTATAACATTATGTAAATAAGAAGGTAATAACTGCTTCGGCAATTCAAATCTAATTATAAGTAAATTAACGGAAGCTGTGGAATTTTAATTATTTAGTGTCAAATATTTACACTTCATACAAAATCAAGACCATGAAGAGGGGTAATGAGAAATATGAAAGACACTTGTAATCACATATCATGGAATATCGTTCAGATCTTGATTAAATGCATATTTCACAATAGACACTCAAGTTAAGTATTCGACATTGAACATTATGATGTCTCCTCAAATTTGAATATATGTCATTTGAAAACCAAACCAACACATATATCTACAAGTCTCAAATTTATTTATATATTAATACATATAACATATATAGGTATGTGGAGTTTCTGTAGTTAAAGTATGACAGTTAAGCTTTGATAAAATTTCCGAATAGAATTTATAAAATCCTGTTGAATAATTCAAAACATATTTGTTACTTAAATTAATATATAACCTATTAACATATATCAGAAGTAAGTCTGAAAATATGGTCAGTCTAAATGGATGGTAACTCACAAAATGTATCTATTGTGAATGCCCCAACTCGTGTACGATTAAACAAAAAACGTCCGCGGCTACCAAAAGCAGCTGATATTGCCTTTACAATTATTGATGAAATGCTATATATCGTGTAATTCACATTAATTTAAACTATAAAAGCTATTGATAACAATGGGAGATAAATTACTAGATGCAACACAATTACTAAACGGAATTGCGGTGCTTTTATCGTTTTTCGTTGGCTACAAATATGCATTAAAGAGGCACAATTTAACTGATGATAGTGCAAAAGGTGCAGCTAAAATGTCTGAAAGCATGGATAAACTAGACATGGTATTTTTACTTTTAAATTACTTTATAATTATTTAGTAAATTTTTCAATTTTTCTTAGCCTTTTAGTAATTTCGGTGGAAATTATAAAATGGTACTCGTAGTACGTAATGACCTAAAAATGGGCAAAGGTAAAGTAGCGGCTCAATGTGGACATGGTGCCGTTGGAGCTTACCAAAAGGCTATAGTTACTTCACCTAGATTAGTACAGGCTTGGGAAAATACAGGCTGTGCGAAAATTGCTCTTAAAGTTGAGAGTGAAAGAGAAATGATGGCTATTAAACGAGCAGCAGACTTACACAGTTTAAGCTCTTGTCTTATTCGTGACGCTGGGCGAACACAAATCGAACCAAATTCTAAAACAGTTTTAGCAATTGGGCCAGCAAGGGCAGAAGACATCGATAAAGTAACTGGGCATTTAAAATTACTTTAAATAGTGCCATGTAGGCTTAGGTTAGATATATTTAAATTAAATAAAATTGTAATAAGTTTATTTATATCCTAAAATGACACTACGAATAATTGTTTAGTACTTATCATAATTAAGATAAATTAATAAATTGTTTTCGTGAAAACAGAAAAATTTAAATGTGCGTGTTTTTCATATTAGCTCTGTAAAATATTGTGAAGTAGAATTCGACTTGAAATTTGAGATTAAAGGCTTGAGTATATGAAAAAACATAGAGCGACGGATCTATCCAAATAAATACGTTTGCAATTTCCTATATTACATATTCAGCCAAAGAATAATGCACCTTAAAGAATAATTTAGATTTTTCTAACAATTTCTCTGCCATGCACCACTGATCAGTTGAAGTTATTTTAGTACATTATAATATTTTGAATAATAATATTTATAGTTTTTAAGTAGTTTTTTTTTGCAAGTATATAAAAAAAAAAATTTTAATAATTATGTTGTATACAATTCACATTAATAATTTTATTTAAATATTTCTTACAATAAATTGGCACTAAAAGAATTTTAATTGTACGAATTAAATAGTAAGTGATCTTAACTAATTTATGTACATAGCCACCATATTAAATTTGTTTTAAATAAATAATACTATAGTTTTAATACGAAATTTCTGAAAAATTCCATTTGCTTGCGAATTAAGAAAATATTCGATTAGACTAGTGGAAACAACGTTAAAACAGTTAACCACACCAGCTTTGATCAAATTTGCATTTTTCATAAAACCATTTGGTCATCCATGCGTTAGTCTTTGTCATATTACCAATTTCTTCTTGTAAATTATAAGTATCCAAATCCAACTGAAATATTTATAGCACATAAATTAAAATTCCTTTTTTATATTTAATCAATTTACTCACAATCGGTTTTGGAAAAATACGTTTCATATCCATTTTGTGAAGATGCTCTTCATGTGCTTTTTCCAAAATCTTGTATTCAGTACCAGTAAGGCAGGGCAAACACAAGCTACATTCCTCGGCATTACACGATTTATCGCAATCATGTTCAACACATGTATTTAAGTCAACTGCAAGATTTTTTTCTGATGCAAGCATCTGCGTCATGTCTTCACATCTAATAATCAAAATAAAAACAAAAGGATTTAAATTCTGTTTTAAAATAACTCCAGCGTTCATACCTATCTTTGGTCTTGTGCTTAATAGGGGACCCAATACCAACAAGATTCAGCGCACTATACAATATTTGTTCATATAATAATGAGTTCGGCTTAAAGTGTGCAGATGACAAATTTGGAGACATATTAGCTTCCATTAAAATAACTTTTAGATCCTTATCAATAATTAAGTCAAATCGCATCAATTCGAAAAAGTTTTGTGTTTTATATGAACGTAACAGACGTGCAATATCTTGCTCCTTTGATATTATCGTACGTCGGATAATATCTTCCACTTGCGTCCAAATACCAGATGGATCTAAAGATTGATCACGAACATATGCGTCGAAAGCAGCCCGCATACTACCGGAATAACGTATGTAGTATTTTTTCAAAGATGGCACCTCCCATGTAGGTAAGTAATCGTCACCAACAACATACTTGTCGACAATTGAAGGATCAAACGGATAGTATTTAACGGGACAATATCTGAACAAAATATCTCCTTTATAAATATATGCACGCAAAGGATTTACAGAGGTTATTACAACATATGCTCCAATATCAAATTTATAACCATTTACCAAAAATGGATTTTGTATATACTCCTGGACAAATGAATCATTGGAGTCTAAGTTTATTTCGTTTGGAGAACGAATTGCAATTAATCTATGCTGATTGTTCTTCTCCACAAATAATGCACCCAAGTTGTTCATAGCATATTTCAAAAATTCTTCTTGTTCGGAAGGCAATCTAAATGCTCTCGGCAAAAATGGCAACGGTGTTGTACATAAATCAACTTTATTTGTTAAAAATCCACAACCAGGCAAATGATTAACCGTTTGATGGGGTTCAAGGTTTTTCATTCTCTCTGGCAAGCGCAAATATGGATAATCATGAGCCCACAGTAAATCCCAATCATCTTCAAAAGGAACTCGCCGGTATCCTAAATAACTTAAAACATTTTTCACGTGCACTAAATGATCCTCCTTTGGACTATTGCTGTATATCGCATATGTCGGTTGCTTACCAAACTGCAGATCGGTAGTTTTTTTAATTAAACTGCGCAGGCTTACGTTAGAGTTTAGAATCTTAAACGGCAGGAACTCCACCACAACGGCAGAAGCCAGCGTTGCACACAAAAAAAAGACCACAAAGCGCTTAGACATCAAAGTTCGCCTTCTGTTATGACAATATGCTTGATAACTATAGAACTACAAATGGAATATAAATTATAGAAAACTGTTCATTTAAAAATAAAAATTTCCAACCTCTTCATCAGCATCTTCACTGTCTGAAAAACGCGGCATTGTTTTGTGCTAAATACAATAAACGAAACGAAACAGTTGAAGATCAAAATTAAAATCCAACGCAATTATAAAGTAAAATCGCCGTTGTTTCAAACTTTCTCCACATTTGACGAGTGGTGAAAAGCGCTGCAGCTACAGCAGTTACACAGTCGCAATAAATACTGTTAGCTTTAAGTGATGCCAAGTTCTGAAACTAAATATACGTTCACATAAATTTCAAATTTATGACTTGAAATCAATTTTCATGGGTTTTAATACGATTTTCTTACAATTTAAAGAAATTGTAATATATTTAATTTACTGAATTAATTTAAAATATTTCTTATGTATTTTAATCTTCTGTGTTTTTTACTAACTAAAGTTTTGAATTTTTAGTTAACCATTTTCTATGGTGAGGATAATTTTTCTATCCTCACTTAAGTGTCGTTTTCACACTAAAATCAGTATAAATCTTAAATGACTGCGTTGTCGATAATATCGAATACTTAAAATTGTGCTTAAGAGTATAAAATTTAAGTAAGAACTTTAAATTCAGTAATTAAACTTAATTTCGATTAAAGGTAAAGTTGTATCTAAAGCGTCACATAATTTTAAAATACTGCTCATTAGCTTTCGTATTTTTTTTTAGTTTTATACTATTGGCGATTTCAATTGGTAAATCTGGATTCAATCTAGATTTACTCTCGATTTTATCGAAATTTTAGTAATAGTAACAGCGTAATATTATAGTCGTAGTGTTAGTAGACATTTATATATTATATATCATAAATGTACCATAGTACATTAGAATGAATGACATCCTCATGGACCTCAAGATTGATCTGATCAAAATATACATAAAGAATAGAACCCTGAAATTATTTACGAAAACTTACTAACAACACGTTATCGAATGTCAGAATGGTTACAGGCTTCTTGGGAAAATGATAAATAATAATCCAGTCAAGGCGTAGAAACGGGTTATGAAGAAACCTCGCAGTTAATAGAGAGTAAAGTGCTCAAGTGCACTGACTCAACATAATAAGTAGCAAGACTAATTTCAGGGTAATCTTGCTACTCTGGCAAAATATCTTAACTATTGCAAATTAATCTAGAATAACATACATTTCACCCAACATTTACCAATCGAAAATTAAAATTATACTAAAAGTGTATATCGATTGAAAAAGTTATACCAGATTTACCAATCTATAATGGCATATATTTCTTATATTACATTCCTAAATATTTAGTAATATATATCTTTTCCCTTGCAGTTGTCAATTATGTTCTTATTTTACTTTTACTTGCCTAGTGACATATATTCCTTAATCACTATAGTTGCTGCTTGTCCAATTCATTCTTTCAGTTTTGCTTTGTAGGATCATCTATATTTACTATTTATTAGATTGAATTTCTAATTAGGATATCATAGACTCATAGAAATACTAAAACATATAAATTTAATGAATCAAATTGAACTAGACATAATTTTTTTAAATTTATTTTCAAAGCACTATTCTGATATCTTATTCAGATATTGAAGCGTTGTTGGAATTATTATTATGTTGAGGCTAGCTGAGTCAGTGCCCTTGAGCACTTTTACTCTCTATTAACTACGAGGTTTCTTTATAATCCCTTTCTACGCCTTGACTTTATTTTATTTAATTTTAAATTTGTTGTATTAAATAGAAATTTATAGCAATTATATTATATATATAAAGTTTACAGCTATGACATTTTAGTCGTCTACCAGAAAAATGTGAATGTGTCATCCTTACACAGAGGGTGTACTAATCTCTCTGTACCGTTCTAATTTTAGTATATGTTTTGCCGTAGCAAGAAAACTAATATAAAACCCATTAATATTGCTAATCATCATTGGACATTTATATATTAAGACATCTCCAGTGAATACTTTTTGATTTGCAGGTGATATTTAAGAGAAATGTATTCTAACTTAGTAAAGAACTCTGCTATATGAATTGTATCACATAAATAAATAGTAATCCCTAATCCCTACTTAAATTTGTCTGAATATGCACTGAAATATTATGAGTTTTGTTTGATTCCTATATTACAGCGGAACATCTATCTAATTCAATAGAAATGACAAATATCGCTATCAGTATCAGTAGTCGAAGGTCGCACTCTGAGACTACAATGAAACTTACACAAAGTAGCTGAGATCTCAATGAGCGTTTGAAATTCTGATCAGATTAAGATGGAAGAATAAACGCTAAATCAGTACAAGCTCACGTTCAGGAACATCAAAATATCTTATCGGGTCATTCAGTTCTATTAGAGAGTGAAACGTATCAAGGGAATTATGAATCAATTATTATTTATTTTGCTTTTCATACAATTTGCAATATTTGGAACGTTTTGTGAGGAGAATTTTATTACAAAATGTGAAATTGAAAACGGCTTGAATGGTATTTGCGTAAAATTGGAAGATTGTGCATTCGATGGCGCAATAATAATAAGAGATTCATCTTCTACTTGTGATTCCGGTTATGTGTGTTGTGATAAGAATCCGCATACATCAAATCAGTTTACAACCAAAATTTTAGATTCCACTGAATGTTTTTCTGGTGGTTATGATGGACAAACATTTTCTACAGCATCTAAAGGTAAAGTAATCGAGTAATGAATAATAGTTAATATTCGAAACTACAAAATTACTTTTATTTTTAGATAATCTTAAATATGAAATAACTGAGCTGAATGCAAATAAACCAGAAAACAAAGTGACAAATTTTCTGGTTCGTATTTAAATATTTTTGATGCAATAAAATTTCTCAATGAGATGTACTTTTAAAGGTAAAAATTGGATATCGAGAGTTTAATGGAGATGTGCGTTACTTCTGTGGAGGGATTTTAATTACACCCACTTATGTTCTCACCTCAGCGCACTGCACTAACTTCAAAGGGTAATATTCTGTGTTTACACTCACATTTATCGCCGGTCATTACTATAGTTTTTTATGGATTTTATATATATTTATATGACTCACACTAATCGTTGGACATTTGTTAAGTTAATTGTCAAAGACAGAGGCTTGAGGTATATTTCTCACACATGCAGTTTAATAGATCCACTTTAATTTTAATAAGATTGATAATAATATATATGTTAATATATAGAAGATTACGAATACTTAAGAGTCAAAATACTACCAAATACTACCAGATATATAATAATATATAATATATAGAAGATTACGAATACTTAAGACTCAAGATACTACAAGTGTGGTATTTTAAATATATGACACGCAGAGTTTAATTACCAATTTATTTACAAAGTAGCACCTGTAGTCAACAGAATAAAGCGTAGATTGCTAAAAGATTTCTAAATTAGATATATCTGCTTTGACTTGATGTTATATAAGTCTAGTTTGGCAGAGTCTGATTTGCTGTGGGTCAAAAAAAGGAAACTGTAATGAAAGCTCTTGATCTCGTCGGTTATCAAAAACTCTTCAAAAAAAATATTATTGCCTTCATGGACATCGCTGATTTGACTTAATATTATATATGTATGTCTACTTGGTTCTGGGTTATAAAGAGGTAATTGTAATAAAAGTTTTTGATTCCGTCGGTTTTCAAAATTCTTTTAGTAAGTTATTCTTACCTTGAATAGGTGGTTCTATTCCATGTAACTACCTACTTTGCCCTGGGTCAAAAAAAAATATTAATTAAATGTTATATATTTGTAGAAAAAGTTTTAATTCTCTTCCCTTTTGATCTGGCTGCCTACTTTGTCTGGGTTAAACTATAGTAGAGCTCTTGATCCCGTCGGATATCAAAAACTCTTCAAGAAAGTTATTCTTACTTTGATTAGGCGAATATTTCCCGATGGAGAATACTGAGGTAAAAAGATATAAACGCTGTTAACATCTGCGAAAATTATATTAGCCGTCGAAAAGTACATTTGAACTTTCATTAGAAGGACAAAATATCTATAGTTCGTTTAAAGATTTATTATTACTATTATTAGGTATAAAGGTATATTAGTGCGTTTTTTATAAATATAAAAAACCTTATATAGTAAACCTTATAGTATTAAGTATTATTTTCTTTTTTGAATTTTTATTTTGTAATTTCAGTACCAGTGCTGAAGTTGTGGAATTGGGTAATCTCAGTATAAATAAGGAAAAAATCCCGATAATAAAAATTTACACACATCCAAACTATAGCGATTCAGATATGTACCATGATATTGCAGTGATGGAATTAGCTATCGAAACCAATTTCTTGCCAGCTTGCTTTTGGAAATGGAATGAGGAAAACATTTTTAATTCTACAAAAATGTTTGCCTTTGGTCATAGTAAATTCGAATGGATGATATACATATTATTACAAATTAATCAAATGAAGTTACTTATTGCAGACTTTATCAACACAGATGAGATGATCGTCATGTCAGTTGATATAATGCCTACAAAATATTGCAATGATTTTTATTTACACGCGCGAAAATTAAGTAATGGAATGAGTCCGACCCAGTATTGTGTCGGCAATACAAATCTTACGGACTCTCAAATGTGCAAAGTAATAAAAAAATGTATTCCTTGTAATATTGGATTCACACGACAGTTTTGTTTCTAATTTTAGCTGTCATGTTTGTAATTTTAGCTGTCAATTGTTGTTGCTTTCAATGCAAAGCGAAAATTTTTGACAGCTAAAATTAGAAAGAAAACTTTCGTGTGAATCCAGTATATGACTTAATAATAAACTTAATATTTTCTTATATTGTTTTATTACAGGGTCTGATTGGTGGACCTTTGATGGCTAGAAATGCTCAAAATGAATTCTACCTAATCGGACTCGCTACATATGTACAGCAATGCTATTCAAAAGTTTATCCCATTATCTATCTAAAATTAATACCTTATATGAAGTGGCTACGTAGCATTATAGTTTAACATGATTTTCACATCACCTCTAATAGATTAATTATTTAATTAACTTAGCTATGATTTTTTTATATCTTATAATAAAATAAATGAATTCGAAATTTTTTGTAAAAATGTTGGTAAAAATTAAAATTAAAATTTACGCAATCCTAACCGAGTCAACAAAATTGGTTCCACTTTAATTATATAGTTTATTTTTAATCAATTT